ATAGTACTGGTAAGCGGGTAACTCGGACGATCCGAATGGCGTTTTTTAGAGGGTCCGATCACTAGTTACTTACGCGTAGATATTTTAATTAGCGAGAATTTCTGCACGTGGTCTTCATACTCAATTGGTCGACCTAATGATGGTATACACTAGAGACCTGCATGGGCCTAAAAATTTGTACTTTTGCCGGCCCGCACGGCCCGCACGGCCCGCAAAATAAAATTTACTATGTTTTTTTAAAGTTCGGCCCGCCATTTACTATATTCTTAGCACACCAGGCCCGCGATTTTGAGGGGTTTTTAAATTTTTCAAATTTCGGCCCGGCCCATGCAGGCATCTAGTATACACCCATTTCCCCGAAAGTTATTCCCCACTTTCATCGACACCGTATTGTCGACAAGACATTTTACCTCCAGCACATTCTTTCGAAAAGACATTTACCTGACATTACGTGTTTTCGATAACCCTTAGACAAGACATCTCAACAACAATAATTTTCCGGCATAAAATTGCCCGATTTAGCATTAGGGTTGGTCCAAATTAGAGTTAATGTTGGTTAGAATTATGTCGAGAAAATAATTGTCAGAGAAATGTCTTGTCTAAGAACAGGGTTGTCGAAAACATGTAATGTCGGATAAATGTATTTTCGAACAAACGTGCTGTACAGTCAACTCTTTCTATAACTAACTGACAGTTCTGAAAGAAAAGACGATGAAATTGGGTGAAGGGAAAATAGCTTTCGGTGAACTATCACGTAACCCTAGTGATCGGACCCTCTAAAAAACGCCATTCGGATCGTCCGAGTTACCCGCTTACCAGTACTATTCACTTCATTGACAGTCATTTCACAGAAAGTTCATTTAGCCGACATCACGTAGGGTTAGGGTTAACATTTGATTAGGCCACAAAGTTGATTTTTCGTTTTGCATTATACGGCATTCGAAATTTCAGTCGGGCGGTCGGATTTTTTTACGTTATTTTATTTTATTATTTTTTTATTATTTTATATCTAAATTAATAGACTGAATCTTCATGTAGTCTTTTAATTTTTAAAGCTTTCTTGAAAATTCATTAACTTATTCAAGTACTATAGTCATGACTTCAGGTTCTTTAATTAACTCTCGAATCAGCCAAATAAAAAGATATTATAAAACTGTATTAAGTTTAAACTTATCAGTAATTTACCAGGCAAAAAAGAACACTTGTATCTGTAATAGTTATGTATTAAATTTTAAGATCTGAAAATTAGTGTGTCTTAATGATAGATTTACAAAACCTGCATTACTTCCACAAAATTTCAATTTCAATTTATCACAAATCGGCAAAGAATAGGAATACTAATAGAATAGTTTATGTCTGGGATTGTTATCAATATGAAATTAAAAAAAGACACAGAATAAACCCCGAGTTTACATATTTATCGTAGACTTAATTGCATGTAACTTTAAAAAATTATTTATGAATGGATCCAGCAGATTTGTAAACTACAGGTCTAATGCTAACCTTAAAATTGCTAATTTGTGAGGTCTAAAGCCTTGTAGTACCGTATAGCACTGCTTACAGTATTAGTATTCCCAAAATAGTATCCTACCATATAAAGTACTCCTTCTCTACCAATGAAATCGCTGGATTCATGAATAGTGCCCGATACTATTAAATTTCAAAATGGGATTACCAGTCACCACCTGGACTATGTTTGCAAATTTGCATTTGACATTCCAATGTGACATGTTGATCGACTGATAAAGAACAATAAAATTGGTTAATTACTTTCATAAGGTAGTACATTCAATACATATTAGTATAATAAACAGAATTCTGAATTATATTGAGTCGGATTATCGATATAATGTCACACAGTGAAAAACACATTCAGAGGATCGACCTTAAACGAAATGAGTACGAAGCGAGAAAAGTTAGAAAATGAAAAACGAGCGTTAACTATCAGAGCACAAATAAAAAAGATTAATCATTTCCTCGAACTTTTCCCCGATATGTCATTTACTCGACATCTCAAAGGGCAACAATATAGCATTTTTTAGTTGTGGGCACATATTGTTAGTAAATTTACCCGGTGTGATGTCGAGTAGGGAAAATAGTAAACCGGAAAAATGGAAAAATTAGATATTTTTATAAATTGATAACGGATAAATAAATAATAAGGAGGATCTAGAAAAAAACATGAAGAACCAATTAAATTTTGAAAACATTTTTAAGCCGCAAAAAATTGTATTTACATTTGGGTGACGCCGAGAGAAAACCGGGAATTCTAAAAATAGACTTCCATCCACAGCGAAGTTGCAGGTTTTTTAATCGGTCAATGTAATAATGTGTTATTACATTGACCTGACCGATTAAAAAACGCAACTTCGCTGTGGATGGAAGTCTATTTTTAGAATTCCTGGTTTTCTCTTGGCGTCACCCATCTGTATATTTACTTAATAAAATGAGCAACCCTAATAAGTTTAACAGGTTTATTTCAAATTGATAACTAAATTATATGGGATTATGCTTTTAAGTAAGAAAAATAAAATTAAGTGTTGGGGTATTTTGATCCATCTTTTTTTTCCGTGAACATCTCCGGATTTACAAATTGCTAACGAGAAAGAAAATTAAATAACTATAATAAGCAAACAACATAAAACTTGTCAGGTATTATATAGAACTATCTAATAATTGAGTCTAAAAATTTACAAAGGGTGGATTTACAAAAGGTGGAAATACTTATTTGTGTGGGTGATACAAACCCAAAAAGGAAATTTAACGTAAAAATAAACTAAGTTCGTGAAAATAGAAATTTAGGGTTGAAACGTTGAAGTTAGATGATATAAAAATAAACATTTACTTTCTATATGTAAAATTTTATTCCCGTCACTTTTAATTAGTGCCCCAAGACAGGTTTAAACACTCAGCTTCTTGTATTTTCGTTTTTTTTTTCGTGATTTACTTCGCTTTGTTCACGTGTCGGCCTGATTCGGATAATCTCCGATTGGCTAATTTCCATTTTTGGATTTCAAATAAGGCACGCGTATACATAGAATAGCATTAAACGGATCACTTCTATATATAATATTACAAGAAAAAGTTATATAAAGCCTCCGTTAAGTCCATGACATCTTAATAAAACTTCTTTCAGCACACAGAAAACGCACGATATGTTCATTAATAAACCTAAACCAAACCCATCGTCATCATCATTATCTTTAAGTGATATGGCCGACATCCTGATGCATAAACTTGATCAGACCAAAGTTTTCCCTCCTTACTACAATAAACCTGAAGAGTTAATCGACCCAGTAAAACAAAAAACTTCAGGAATACCTCGCCCACCTAACGGTTTTCTGCTATGCAGAAAGAACGTGCACCAACAAGCAAAACAATGTGGAATACAAAACATGAGAGTTATAAGCAAAGTTACGGGAATGTTATGGCGTAGTGCTTCGCCACAAGAAAAGGTACGTACATATTAATAAACTACTTTGTTAGGCCGGACCAATTTAATTCGGTGGTTATATCACATTCCTCTTTCAAAAGAGGAGAAAAAGTAGTGAATATATGGGCTGCCGTCAATAGAAATCAAGCAGATCTACATTTGAAAAAAACTTAATACCTTAAATTTCACAGCCTATATCTCGATAGATTTTAAGGTATCTTGATGATTTAATATCCAAAAGAAAGCTTAGATCGTAAGCTTTCTTTTAAATATTAAATCATCAAGAATACCTTTAAAATGTATCGAGATATAGGCTGTGAAATTTAAGGTATTAATTTTTTTT